AGAGAAGAGATTGCCTCTCCCGTCCACACCACCCCATGGAGAATACTGGAACTGTTCCTTCCCTCAGTCTGCACAGGTGTACCGGCTCCTCCCCTCAGTCTGCACAGGTGTACCGGCTCCTCCCCTCAGTCTGCACAGGTGTACCGGCTCCTCCCCTTCAGTCTTGCACAGGTGTACCGGCTCCTCCCCTTCAGTCTTGCACAGGTGTACCGGATCCTCCCTTCAGTCTTGCACAGGTGTACCCGCTCCTCCCCTTCAGTCTCGCACAGGTGTACCGGCTCCTCCCCTTCAGTCTTGCACAGGTGTACCGGATCCTCCCTTCAGTCTTGCACAGGTCTATCGACTCCTCCCCTTCAGCCTTGCACAGGTGTATTGGCTCCTCCCCTTCAGTCTGCACAGGTGTATCGGCTCCTCCCCTTCAGTCTGCACAAGTGTACCAGCTCCTCCCCTTCAGTCTGCACAGGTGTGCCGGCTCCTCCCCTTCAGTCTGCACAGGTGTACCGGCTCCTCCCCTTCAGTCTGTACAGGTGTACTGGCTTCTCCCCTTCAGTCTGCACAGGCGTACCGGCTCCTCCCCTTCAGTCTGCACAGGTGTACCCGGCTCCTCCCCTTCAGTCTGCACAGGTATACCGGCTCCTCCCCTTCAGTCTGTACAGGTGTACCAACTCCTCCTCTTCAGTCTTGCACAGGTGTACCGGCTCCTCCCCTCCAGTCTTGCACAGGTGTACTGGCTCCTCCCCTCCAGTCTTGCGCAGGTGTACCGACTCCTCCCCTCCAGTCTGGCACAGGTGTACCGGCTCCTCCCCTTCAGTCTTGCGCAGGTGTACCGGCTCCTCCCCTCCAGACTTGCACAGGTGTACCGACTCCTCCCCTCCAGTCTGGCACAGGTGTACCGGCTCCTCCCCTTCAGTCTTGCACAGGTCTACCGGCTCCTCCCCTCCAGTCTTGCGCAGGTGTACCGGCTCCTCCCCTTCAGTTTTGCACAGGTGTACCTGCTCCTCCCCTTCAGCCTGGCACAGGTGTACCGGCTCATCCCCTTCAGTCTTGCACAGGTGTACTGGCTCCTCCCCTTCAGTCTTGCACAGGTGTACTGGCTCCTCCCCTTCAGTCTTGCACAGGTGTGCTGGCTCCTCCCTTTCAGTCTGCACAGATGTACTGGCTCCTCCCCTGGACTGACATGGCTTCCTCTGATATCACTGCACACTGGGAGCTTCTCACAATGTGCATTAGAAGCTGCAGCCAGTCAGATAGAGCTCCTCCTCATTTCCTGGCTGGAGGACGTCCAGCATCATCTAACACTTTCCTCTCCAGCCTGACTGTCCCTGGCCCTTTCATTCATTCGATTTCAGTTCTTTCCACCTTGGAGACTCAGAATAACATGTGGGCGTTACCTATGCAAATACAGCCAATTTAGGAACACCCACTCCTCCACTGTGATGCCCACCCATCAAGGCATTTTGATATTTGCAAGAGCCAACCCCCCCTCACATCATGACTGAGGGCTTTTGAGAGGAGTACTGAGGCTGGGTGCTGTGATGTTTTCATGTACAGCACCCTGGTGGCCCCTCCCACCAGCCATGATCTGTCTGCTTAGCATAGATAAGCACAGGGACCCGGTGATGACAGCACTGGGTCTAAAATGGAATTTGTGAAGAAAACAAAAGGTTTTCATTAAAAGTTTAAAATGTCCTTAGCATATCGATGAGGGGGGAGGGGACACTTTAAGCAGATTCAGCTTCAGGTCACTGCTAGCCCCACCTACCAGCCATGATCTTCCTGCATTGCATAGAGAAGCACAGAGAGTCAGTGATGATGTCACTGGAACTAAAATGACAAATGCATTGAAAATGGAAAGATTTTATTCATTAATTTCCTTAGCATGTTAGTAAAGGGGGGATGGGAGAGGGGCAGATTAAAAGCTACAGAAATTCCTGATTTTGCGCTCTCAGTCACCGATGACATCGATTTCCGTTTGGTGCACACGGGCGACTTCTTGCAGTGATTAATCGTTGGTGGAAATGATTGATAGTTGCCCGTTTGATACATTGTATGAGAATCGGCAATTAATCACCATTACATCCCACTTGTGTTCCTCATTCCATAGGGAGCCATTTATTCCAAATGTCTGACTATTGATCGCCCCAATTATTTGTTACAACATAAAAATAACCCATCCGCCGCTTTCATCTCCCGCGCCGCATTATACGGCGGTGCTATAATTACATCACATCGACTTCCAGAACGAACAAAACAAGAGGATTTTCAGTTCCTTCTACAAAGGAGCTTTTATGTCGGAATACAAACTCCACTTCAAAGGCGTCAATAACGACATTTAGAGTGGAGCTCCGCCCCTTCTACTCATTGTTTCTTTTTTTACTCTTTTTCCTCTATAAATGTCTGTTTAATTATATCACCGAGACTAAATTAAAGTCGAACTCCAAAAGTATTTGTGCACCCTTTCACAACTGCGGATGGAGGAAAACCATTTTGTGTTCGGACAGGAAGTGAGGGGAACAGACAAATACCTACTGTAACCTTCGATCCTCATGCTACTTACCTATCTATATCTATATACACATTGAAGGAAATGTGTATTTGCTCCCCCCTGATGGTGAATGTTCGCCCTCACACAGAAATGATCGGTCCAACAATGGAATGTTCGCCCCTCACACAGAAATGATCGGTCCAACAATGGAATGTTCGCCCCTCACACAGAAATGATCGGTCCAACAATGGAACGTTCGCCCCTCACACAGAAATGATCGGTCTAACAATGGAACGTTCGCCCCTCACACAGAAATGATCGGTCTAACAATGGAATGTTCGCCCCTCACACAGAAATGATCGGTCTAACAATGGAATGTTCGCCCCTCACACAGAAATGATCGGTCTAACAATGGAATGTTCGCCCCTCACACAGAAATGATCGGTCTAACAATGGAATGTTCGCCCCTCACACAGAAACGATCGGTCTAACAATGGAATGTTCGCCCCTCACACAGAAATGATCGGTCTAACAATGGAATGTTCGGTGTAACACTGAGAGACAGAATACAACAACAAATTCATCAGAAATGCGTCTAACAAATGATGACGGATCTGCATGTTCATGAGGGAAAGAAGGATTTGATCCCCTATCATTCAGCAGGATTTCTGGCTCCCAGGTGTCTCTCATACAGGTAACAAGCTGAGATTAGAAGCAGTCTCTTAAAGGAAGTGCTGCTAATCTCATTGTGTTACCTGTATAACAGACACCTGTCCACAGGAGCCATCAAACCATCAGATTCCAAACTCTCCACCATGGCAAAGACCAAAGAGCTGTCCAAGGATGTCAGGGACAAGATGGTAGACCTACACAAGGCTGGACTGGGCTACCAAACTATGGCCAAGCAGCTTGGTGAGAAGGTGACAACAGTTGGTGCAATCATTCACAAATGGAAGAAACACAAAACAAGTGTCAGTCTCCCTAGGTCTGGTGCACCATGCAAGATCTCACCTCGTGGAGTGTCAATGATCATGAGAACAGTGAGGAATCATCCCAGAACTACACGTGAGGATCTTGTCAATGATCTCCAGGCAGCTGGGACCACAGTCACCAAGAAAACAATTGGTACCACACTACGCCGACAAGGACTGAAATCCTGCAGTGCCCGCAAGGTCCCTCTGCTCAAGAAAGCCCATGTCCAGGCCCGTCTGAAGTCTGCCAGTGAACATCTGAATGATGCAGAGGAGGACTGGTGGGAAGTGTTGTGGTCAGAGGAGACCAAAATCCAGCTCTTTGGCATCAACTCAACTCGCCGTGTTTGGAGGAGGAGGAATGCTGCCTATGACCCCAAGAACACCATCCCAACTGTGAAACATGGTGGTGGAAGGTTTCTGCTTTGGGGGGGGTTTTCTGCTAAGGGGACAGGACAACTGCACCGCATCAAAGGGACGATGGGCAGGACAATGTACCCTCAAATCTTGGGTGAGAACCTTCTTCCCTCAGCCAGGGCATTGAAAATGGGTGGTGGATGGGTGTTCCAGCATGACAATGACCCAAAACACACGGCCAAGGCAACAAAGGAGCGGCTCAAGAAGAAGCACATTAAGGTCCTGGAGTGGCCTAGCCAGTCTCCAGACCTTCATCCGATGGAAAATCTGTGGAGGGAGCTGAAAGTTCAAGTTGCCAAACGTCAGCCACCAAACCTTAAGGACTTGGAGAGGATCTGCCAAGAGGAGTGGGCCAAAATCCCTCCTGAGATGTGTGCGAACCTGGGGGCCAACTCCAGGAAACGTCTGACCTCTGTGATTGCCAACAAGGGATTTGGCCACCAAGTACTAAGTCATGTTTTGTGAAGGGGATCAAATCCTTCTTTCCCTCATGAACATGCAGATCCGTCATCATTTGTTAGACGCATTTCTGCTGAATTTGTTGTTGTATTCTGTCTCTCAGTGTTACACCGAACATTCCATTGTTAGACCGATCATTTCTGTGTGAGGGCGAACATTCCATTGTTAGACCGATCATTTCTGTGTGAGGGGCGAACATTCCATTGTTAGACCGATCATTTCTGTGTGAGGGGCGAACATTCCATTGTTAGACCGATCATTTCTGTGTGAGGGGCGAACATTCACCATCAGCAGGGGAGCAAATACGCATTTCCTTCACTGTATATTACCAAACGTATTGGGCCGCCGGCCTTTCCACACACATGACAAAGTCTGCCTGTTGTTTTTTTTTTTCCTTTTGGTTTTATTTTTATGTTTTTATACTTTTTGTGGAATTACTGACCTCTGATAATCCCAAGCATGTTTAAATTCAACAAAAAGTAGACGAGATGTTTCACCCTTGTCATTTAAATAAAAAGTTTTGAAGTAGACATCTACTTTAGGTACCGCCCCCTACTGGCTGATTTTGTTGGAGCCGTAGATGATTGGTCTCTACAACATCCAGTTTATTGTATGGAAGGGTGAAGGGTTATGAAGACCCCCAGACAATGACTTGGTTCATCTCTCACCTGGGCAGGGTTGGGGGTTGCAGTCCTGGAACTCGATGGCGGATCCAGAGCAGGGAAGTCCTCCATTCCGAGGTTCGGGATTATTGCAGAACCTTTTTCTGGATCGGAACCCCAATTCGCACTCTCGGGAACAGATGGACCAGGCTCCCCATGGGCTCCAACCACCGCTGATTATACGAGCCGGAATCTTGCCATTCCGCATGAGATCATCTACCAGAGCTGGAGGGAGAATGACAGAAGACCATTACTCTGTACCAATGGTTGTCAGGTGTAGGGAGCCTCAAATGTGGCCCCTGACTGCTTCAAATGGTGACACATAAATTCATTATATGACAGAAGACCATTACTCTGCACCAATGGTTGTCAACTTGCATGAGGTAGGGAGCCTCAACTGTGGCCCTTGACGAGGGAGAATGACAGAAGACCATTACTCTATACCAATGGTCATCAACTTGCAAAGGGTGGGGAGCTTCAACTGTGGCCCTTGACAAGGGAGAATGACAGAAGACCATTACTGTATACCAATGGCCGTCAACTTGCAAAGGGTGGGGAGCTTCAACTGTGGCCCTTGACAAGGGAGAATGACAGAAGACCATTACTGTATACCAATGGTTATCAATTTGCAAAGGGTGGGGAGCTTCAACTGTGGCCCTTGACAAGGGAGAATGACAGAAGACCATTACTGTATACCAATGGTTATCAATTTGCAAAGGGTGGGGAGCTTCAACTGTGGCCCTTGACAAGGGAGAATGACAGAAGACAATTACTGTATACCAATGGTCGTCAACTTGCAAAGGGTGGGGAGCTTCAACTGTGGCCCTTGACAAGGGAGAATGACAGAAGACCATTACTCTATACCAATGGTTGTGAACCTGCAAGATATAGGGAGCCTCAACTGTGGCTCTGACAGCTCCAAAGGGCCACACATAAATTCAGCATACAAGGAACACCTTCTAGAGGAGACCATAAGAGACCTCAGCCTGCAACAGGAAGACATACCATGGGAGATGCTACATGACAATTCTAGAGATCACCGACATCTTTACAAATAAATGCTCCTGTTAATGACTGCTGGGGTCTGCAAAGGGCCAAACAGCAAGTAGCCAAGGGTCACAAGTGGCCCCCAGACTGCAGGTTGGACACCAGGGCTCTGTACAGTTGTGTATTTAGATTTTGTGCTGCCCTAGGCAAGGCAAAAATTGGACGTTCCCCCCCCCCACCGAGAGCCTGACACCAACCAACACCAACCAGTCACGCCCCCCAAAAAGATACAGACGCCAACCAACTGCACCCTACCTCCCCCCCCCCTACCGCGGAGAGAGCCTGACACCAACCAACCACGCCCCCCCCAGAAAGAGACTGACATTGACCAACTGCACCTTCCCCCCCTCCCCCACTGCAGAAAGAACCTGACACCAACCAACCAAGCCCCCCCAGAAAGAGACTGACATTGACCAGCTGCACCCTCCTCCCCCCACTGCAGAGAGAACCTGACACCAACCAACCACGCCCCCCAAAAAGAGACAGACGCCAACCAACTGCACCCTACCCCCCCCCTCCACCACGGAGAGAGCCTGACACCAGCCAACCAGGCACCCCCCCCCAGAAAGAGACGGAAATTGACAAACTGCACCCTACCCCCCCTCCACTGCGGAGAGAGCCTGACACCAACCAACCAGGCACCCCCTAGAAAGAGACTGACACCGACCAAATGCACCCTACCCCCACCACAAAGAGAGCTTGACACCAACCAACCACTACCCCCCAGAAAGAGACTGACACCGACCAATGGCACCCTACCACCTCCCCACCACCACCACACCTTCCTCTACCACCCACCCCCATACACCCGGCCACACCCTCCTCTCCCCCAGCAAGAGAGTAAGACACTTGCACAGCTCTGGACATCCCCAGGTACTAGAGTTGGGGTCTGTATACACCGTCAAGCAGCCCACAGCCTCTCTCAGACCCCACCTGGTCCCCATGTCATCTGTGGCCCTTCTTCTGGCCCTTCTTCCGGGGGCTGTGCTGCCCCCCTGAAAAATGCCGCCCTAGGCAAATGCCTTGTTTGCCTCGTGGTAAATACACCCCTGGCTCTGTATGGTCAGGTCTCCTGGGGGGAGGAAGGCATGAAGGACTTTTTTCCTTCGGTATGGCAAAATTGGCACAGTTGCCCTACGGTTGAGTTGGGGGTTGAGCTGGGGGAGTTGGGGGGGAGGGGGGGGTGGGTTCTGTTTTGCCATCCAATGGTTTTCAGAATTGTAAGAGATCGTAATATATATTATTTCAGATGAGGTCTAACAGGACATAGAAATATAAAACCAAAGCCTTTCGCCATTATTAACCTCTTCACGCCGGCCAAATGCAAATGTGCATCCTCCAGGCGTCTGGGCCTAGACGCCGAGCGGCCGCACTATTGCGTTCTATTAAAAAAGGACATATGTGCCAAGAGTGCGCTCCCAGCACACGTGTCCCGGTACTCACGGAAAGGTCCCGATCTCCTCATTCGATCGGGACCTTTCCCGATCATGTGACCGCTGTGACGACGCGTCGCGGTGGTCACATGACTCTAAACCCCGCCTCCCGGCTTCTGAAACTCTTAAAGGGCCGGGAGGCGCCGGCGGGAAGGGGTTAACATAAAAAAAAGATGTTCAGATTTTATTGTCCTCTCAGATACAAACGTACAGTCCGTCTCGCAGGCCAGCGAGCCGTCGTTCGCACAGAACCGGGTCTCGATCTTCTTCCTCCCGAACTGCAGGATATGGGGGTCCGGCAGTTGCGCCCTGCAGGTATAACGAAAACGCTGTTCCTGGCGCGCTCCGCTCTGCGTCATGTTGACGGGCATCCAGGGCGTCCAGGGTGTGTTCCTCCGTACCTCAGGACAAGCTTCAGGGTTACACGTCCTGAATTCCTGCAACGTGGAGGAGAATGAGATGAATCCATGCCAAGACATGATGGGTTCTGCCAGCAGAAAGACATGATAGGTTCTGCCAGCAGGAGAAGACATGATGCGTTCTGCCAGCAGGAGAAGACATGATGGGTTCTGCCAGCAGGAGAAGACATGATGAGCAGGAGAAGACATGATGGGTTCTGCCAGCAGGAAAAGACATGATGGGTTCTGCCAGCAGGAGAAGACATGATAGGTTCTGCCAGCAGGAGAAGACATGATGGTTCTGCCAGCAGGAGAAGACATGATGGGTTCTGCCAGCAGGAGAAGACATGATAGGTTCTGCCAGCAGGAGAAGACATGATGGGTTCTGCCAGCAGGAGAAGACATGATGGGTTCTGCCAGCAGGAGAAGACATGATGGGTTCTGCCAGCAGGAGAAGACATGATGGGTTCTGCCAGCAGGAGAAGACATGATAGGTTCTGCCAGCAGGAGAAGACATGATAGGTTCTGCCAGCAGGAGAAGACATGATAGGTTCTGCCAGCAGGAGAAGACATGATAGGTTCTGCCAGCAGGAGAAGACATGATGGGTTCTGCCAGCAGGAGAAGACATGATGGGTTCTGCCAGCAGGAGAAGACATGATGGGTTCTGCCAGCAGGAGAAGACATGATGGTTCTGCCAGCAGGAGAAGACATGATAGGTTCTGCCAGCAGGAGAAGACATGATAGGTTCTGCCAGCAGGAGAAGACATGATGGGTTCTGCCAGCAGGAGAAGACATGATAGGTTCTGCCAGCAGGAGAAGACATGATAGGTTCTGCCAGCAGGAGAAGACATGATAGGTTCTGCCAGCAGGAGAAGACATGATGGACGTTAAACAAGAATATTATGTAAATGATATATAAAACCTGGTAAATAATAATAATAAATCAATATATTCCAAAGTTAGTATTTTTTTTTTTAGACAGATAAAGCTTTATTTTGGTGGTATTTATTCACCGCTGGGATTTTTTTTTTTTTTTTTTTTTGCTATGTAAATGAAAAAGTCCAAACATTTTGAAAAAAAGTGTTTTTTTTTATAAAATTTAGCAAATAAATAATATTTCATTATAAATCTCGGCCAAAATTTATTCCGTTAACTTTTTAGTAAAAAAAAAAAAAAACCAAATTATTTTATAACCAAAAATTATAATTTTTAAAAATTTATTTTACATTTTTATTTTATTTTTTATATTGTTATGTTTTTTTTTTTTTTTTTTACATACTGTCACCCTAGCAGTAGTATCACCATGGTGACACTGTACTACTTGTGGGGGGTGAAGATTTTTTTTTTTTTTTTTTTTTTTTTGCACTAATTGCTTTTACACCCATAAAGGCTGTAAAAGCAATCGTTTCTCCTTCTCTCTGGCTGCATTCTTGCAGCCATTGAGAAACGCTGTGATTGGTCACAGCTTGTCACATGGTAGGAGGCTGTTGTGAATGGCCCTGTACCATGTGATCTCTGTGATCATTCACAGATTTCACACGTAGTAAGTAATGATGTCACATTGTCATCTTGCTTACTACTCTGCATGTGATCACTGATTGGCCAATTGGACGGGAGGTGGTTAATTAATTTTTTTCACACATTTTGTTTTTGGCGGTGGAGTAATATTATCATTATTGCAGTTATTATTTATACATTTATTTATATTTCATCGATTATATTTTGTGAGCGCTATTATTTGTGGTTATATTTTATTCTCACATATTGGATATACGTTAAACAAGAATAGTAGCGGATTGAGATCACGGGAAATGCCGGACGTGTGGGAAGAGTTTGCATCACTGACGTTCTTCCAGGATGTAGATTTAGAGGCTGGTCTGAAGAAGACATCTGGAGCCACTAAAATTGGTTCAAGACCCCCACACTGGACTGATCAGACATGTGCAGAACGAAAAAAAAATGTTTCTTTTCGTATCGATTTGTTAAGCTGCTAATCGAATTTCCTCCTCGAATTCGTCACGAAATTCATTTCATTTAGTATATTAGTTTTCAACCGGAACAAATGTATTTTTCCAATGGATTCGAAGTATTTGAATCAAATTCAAACTGCAAATATCGAATCGATCTGAATTCATTGTGAAGAATAGGTGATTCTATTCAAAATTCGAATATACTATTCTTTTCTATTCTGTTGTATTTTATTCTGTTCTTTTCTATTTTATTCTTTTCGAATTTTGAAAGACGTCTATATTCTATGCCAAACTATTCTTTGGTTTTTATTATTCTATACTTTTCTATTGTTTCCCAACTATGTAACTATTCAAATTTCAAATATACTATTATTTTCTATTCTATTTTATTCTGTTCTTTTCCATTCTATTTTATTCTTTTCCAAATTCGAATTTTGAAAGACATCTATACTCTATGCTAATCTATTCTTTTTTTTTTTTATTCTATACTTTTCTATTGTTTCCTAACTATGTAACTATTCAATATTCGAATATACTATTGTTTTCTATGCTATTTTATTCTGTGCTTTTCTATTCCATTTTATTCTTTTCCAAATTCGAATTTTGAAAGACGTCTATATTCTATGCTAATCTATTCTTTTGGATTTTATTATTCTATACTTTTCTGATATTTTCTAACTATGTAACTATTCAAAATTCAAATATACTATTCCTTTCTATTCTATACTTTTCTATTTTATTTTATTCTTTTCGAAATTCAAATTTTGGAAGACTTGCTATATTCATGCTATTCTATCTTAATTTATTAAAAAAATTTTCTATCCTATTCTTTTATTTCCTATTCTGTTCTATTCTTTTCATTTCTATTCTATTTTATTTTCTAAATTAGAATTTCAGAAGACGGCTATATTCTGTTTTATTCTATTTTAATCCATTTTTTTTTCTATTCTTATTGTATTGTATGGTTTTTGAAATTTGAAAGACGGCTATATTCTATGCTAATCTACTCTTTTGTTTTTTTTATTCTATACTTTATTCTTTTCAATTCTATTTTATTCATTTTGAAATTAAAATTTTGGAAGACTGCTATTTTCATTCTATTCTAATTTATTCTATTTTTTTTCTATCCTATTCTTTTATTTCCTATTCTGTTTTATTCTATTCTTTTCATTTCTATTCTATTTTATTTCTAAATTTGAATTTTGGAAGAGGGCTATATTCTGTTTTATTCTATTCTTTTCATTTCTATTCTATATTATTTTCTAAATTTGAATTTTGGAAGAGGGCTATATTCTGTTTTATTCTATTCTTTTCATTTCTATTTTTTTTATTTTCTAAATTTGATTTTCGGAAGAGGGCTATATTCTGTTTTATTCTATTTTAATCTATTTTTTTTCTATTCTTTTATTTTCTATTTTATTCCTTTATTTTCTATTCTGTTTTTTTTCTATTCTTATTGTATTTTATGGTTTTTGAAATTTGAATTTTGAAAGACGGCTATATTCTATTTTATTCCATGCTATTCGAATTTCAAAAGATGGCTATATCCATTCTATTCTATTCTTTTATATTCTTCTGTTTTCTATTCTATTGTTTTCTTTTCTATTATTTTTATATTCCTTTATTTTATATTCTATCCTTTTCTATTCTGTTTTATTCTATTCTTTCCTATTCTATTTTATTATTTTCGAAAGGTTCCTTCCTCCCTTAGGCTGGCCATACACTATACAATTTTCTGCCCAATTTCCTTTAGATTTACCTTCAACTATATAATGCAAGAGCCGGCCTAATTGGATACAACTGAAAGTGTGGTTAGGTTTGACCTCCTATTAGATGGTTTTTGGTAAATCTAAACCAAAAATCTCAAGAAAATTGTATAATGTATGGCCAGCCTTACCTGGGGGGGGTCTCTCTTCGGTAAAGGGGCGGACTGACAACTCATGGGGCCACCGGGCAATAGGGAATCATGAGGCCCGTGTCCTGGCCCACACTCAAAAAAAGCCTATGGAAGGTACCAGGGGCATCTCATGGGGCCCCCTACTGACCCCGGGCCCTCGGGCAGTTCCAAGTTTCCAAATGGTCAGTCCGCCCCTGCCCCCACCCATTACTTATTGGTCAGCTGATTGTGAGGAGTGGGGTCTTTTGGCTAGATGGACCAGAGTGGGTCTTGTCCCCCATGAGGAGACTTGTGTCCCGGCCCAGAGAGGGGTCCTTCCTCTTCTACCCACCCTAGTGCACTTTTTTGTGTGTTGACATTTTTTCGTTATGGGCGGAGGGAGAGGTGGTAGAACCCCTGCCAAGCTTTATTTTCCTTCTACCAGCTTTCTGGGGAGATTTCCTCTCATTTCCTGTGGCCCAGTGCAGGCACATGCTACAAAGACACATTTTCAGAAGAACGAGGAAGGCCTAGAACCTGTCTGGATATTATTGCTGTCTGCGTCTTCCCATTCAAAGGACGTTAAAAAGTAACAAAATTCCAGAGTTTATCGACAAAGAGAATTATTTAAAAAAAAACAAAACAAACAGACTTTTATTCCCCATCACATTAGAAGGTTATTGAGATGACATTTACGCACCGCGTTACGCGCCATTAGAAAAATCCTCTCGTGGCACAGAAGTATCTCCGGGTACAATGACCTCCTGCTGTCTCCAGGCCTCCTGTTCGGCTCCTACAAGTTCTATCTACTTGTTGATCTCAAATATTCAATTATCTTTTCATTATTCAAGCTGATGCTTGCGGAGGGATGAGACGGCTTCCGCTGCATACGAGATGTAATCAGTACAGGTGGCTGGGAACGGCGCGGGCCTTGTGAGTCTTCATAATATACACCAAGCAGCCATAACATTGCCAACGCCCGCTGAATATTGAAGTGGGTCACCCTTCTGCCACCAAAAACAACCCATTGAGACCTTGACCCCACTAGACAGAGCACCACACTGCCCCCGCCGGCTTGTCTTCCTCCCATACTGCGTGCTGGAGCCATCTCTTCTCCAGGTAAGTGACGCGCACACCCACAGCCGGCCATCCACATGATGGAAAAGAAAACTGTCCCGCCAGGCCACCTTCTTCCATGGCTCCAAGGTTCAGTTCTGATGCTCACATGCCCATTGTAGGCCCTTTCGGCTGTGGACACGGGTCAGCATGACCCCTGACGGGTGTGTGCAGCTATACAGCCCCAAACACAACTAATAGAGATTCTATCAGTACCAGCATTCGTTTTTTTCAGCAGTCTGAGCTCCAGTAGCTCTTCTATTGGATTGGACTACACTGGCAAGCCTTTGCTCTCCACCTCCATCAATGACCCTCCCCTACCTCCATCATTAAGCCTTCCCTCCCCTACCTCCATCAATGAGCCTCCCCCCCCACCTCACCTCCATCATTAAGCCTTCCCTCCCCTACCTCCATCATTGAGCCTTCCCTCCCCTACCTCCATCATTGAGCCTTCCTCCCCTACCTCCATCATTGAGCCTTCCCTCCCCTACCTCCATCAGTAAGCCCTTCCTCCCCACCTCAATCAATAAGCATTCGCTCCCCAACTCCATCAATGAGCCTTTTCTCCCCACCTCCATCATTGAGCCTTCCCTCCCCTACCTCAATCAATGAGCCCTTCCTCCCCACCTTCATCAATGAGCCTTTCCTCCCCACCTCAATCAATGAGCCTTTCCTCCCCCACCTTCAACAATGAGCCTTTCCTCCCCACCTCCATCAACGAGCCTTTCCTCCTCACCTTCATCAATGAGCCTTTCCTCCCCCCACCTCCATCAATGAACCTTCCCTCCCTACCTCCATCAATGAGCCTTCCTTCCCTACCTCCATCAATGAGCCTTCCTTCCCTACCTCCATCAGTGAGCCTTCCCTCCCCCATCTGCATCAATGAGCCTTGGTCCCCGATGACCCTGTCACCGGTTCTCCTTCCTTGGACGGTCCTGACCACAGCAGACAGGGAACATCCCACAAGAGCTTCAGTTTTGGAGTTGCTCTTACCTAGCTGTCTAGAAAAGGGTCTTCAAACATTCTAAGCAAAGGGTCAGTTTAAAGTCTTTCAGCTTTAGGGGGACTGCACTGTGGCCAGTGGGAGTATAAATTACCCCATCATTGGTTTTAATGGGAGGAATAGCATCCCATCACTGGTGTCAGTGGGAGGAATAGTGCCCTATCATTGGTGTCAGTGGGAGGAATAGTGCCCCCATCATTGGTGTCGGTGGGAGGAATAGTGCCCCATTATTGGTGTCAGTGGGAGGAATAGTGCCCCATCATTGGTGTCAGTGGGAGGAATAGTGCCCCATCATTGGTGTCAGTGGGAGGAATAGTGCCCCATCATTGGTGTCAGTGGGAGGAATAGTGCCCCATCATTGGTGTCAGTGGGAGGAATAGTGGCCCATCATTGGTGTCAGTGGGAGGAATAGTGCCCCATCATTGGTATCAGTGGGAGGAATAGTGCCCCATCATTGGTGTCAGTGGGAGGAATAGTGCCCCATCATTGGTGTCAGTGGGAGGAATAGTGCCCCATCATTGGTGTCAGTGGGAGGAATAGGGGCCCATCATTGGTGTCAGTGGGAGGAATAGGGGCCCATCATTGGTGTCAGTCGGAGGAATAGTGGCTCATCATTGGTGTCAGTGGGAGGAATAGTGGCTCATCATTGGTGTCAGTGGGAGGAATAGTGCCCCATCACTGGTGTCAGTGGGAGGAATAGTGTTCCATCACTGGTGTCAGTGGGAGGAATAGTGCCCCATCATTGGTGTCAGTGGGAGGAATAGTGCCCCATCATTGGTGTCAGTGGGAGGAATAGTGCCCCATCATTGGTGTCAGTGGGAGAAATAGTGTCCCATTATTGGTGTCAGTGAGAGGAATAGTGCCCCATCATTGGTGTCAGTGAGAGGAATAGTGCCCCAAGGACCAGATAAAGGCAAACAAAGGGCCACATCTGGCCCCTCGGCCACAGTTTGGAGACCGCTGGTCTAGACATTACAGTTTGGTCCTTGTCAAAATCCATCAAATCCTTACACTTGTACATATTTTCTGCAACACATCAGCTTCAGGGATCACATGTTCACCTGACACCTAATATATCCCTCCTGCTCTCAGGTGTCATTGTAACGAGATAATCAATGTTAATCATTTTACCTGTCCGTGGTCATAATGTTATGGCTGGTCGGTGTATTGTCATTAGACTGGTGTCATCCCTCTGCAAGCATCAGCTCGAACAATCAAAAGATCATTGAATATTTGAGTTTAACAAGTAGATAGGAGCTGAACAGGAGTCCTGGAGACGGTGGGAGAGCGACTCTGCAACAAGCGCAGGCACAATATGCGCTAAGTCCAGTTAGGCGCATGTCACCTCTGGGACTTATTTCTGTTATGTATATGTGACAGGTTTATTGCTGGCTGAGGGAGGAGAGGAGCACACAGAGCAGCTATGTCTGACCCTCCCCCTCCTTCTGCCCATTCACAGAAGCCTTTGTATTATGGGAACGCCTTTACAAAGTCTTCTGTGAATGTGCAGCACAGGGGAGGGACGGACATAGCTGATCTGTGTGCTCCTCCCTCAGCCAGCAATAAACCTGTCACATACATAACAGAGATAAGTCCCAGGGGTGACATGCGCCTAACTGGACTTAACTCCTTGTGTGCCTGCAAAGTTACTGAATTTCTGGAAGTTCCTTTTTTAAATGATGTGCCTGTGGTAATGCAGAATTGTGAATGCAGTGCCATTCCGATAAACCAGTCCCATCATACCATCGAACTTTTCCTGCTTCAGTGACAACTGCCCCCTAATTTCTTGTCTGCGGAGCATAGGGACAGGAAGTGAGAGGAGATCCAAAGCAATCATGGCGGCAGGGAAAACCAGACTGAAATATTTACTTCTGCCAAGCCTATCCAAAAGCTATAGGAAATGATGGGATGGGACTGACCGAAGGGACGGAACTGACCGATGGGACGGAACTGACCGATGGGACGGAACTGACCGAGGGACGGAACTGCCAAATGGGACGGAACTGCCAAATGGGACGGGAACTGACCGGAGGGACGGGACTGACCGATGGGACGGAACTGACCGATGGGACGGGACTGACCGATGGGACGGGACTGACCGATGGGACGGGACTGATCGAAGGGACGGAACTGCCCGATGGGACGGAACTGACCGATGGGACGGAACTGACCGATGGGACGGAACTGACCGATGGGACGGAACTGACCGATGGGACGGAACTGATCGATGGGACGGGACTGATCGAAGGGACGGGACTGATCGAAGGGACGGAACTGATCGAAGGGACGGAACTGCCCAATGGGACGGAACTGCCCAATGGGACGGAACTGACCGGAGGGACGGAACTGACCGGAGGGACGGAACTGACCGGAGGGATGGGACTGACCGATGGGACGGGACTGACCGATGGGACGGGACTGACCGATGGGACGGGACTGACCGATGGGACGGGAACTGACCGATAAGATGGAACTGACCAAAGGGACGGAACTGACCGAAGGGACGGACTGACCGAAGGGACGGAACTGACCGTAGGGACGGAATTAACCGAAAGAATGGAACTGATCGATGGAATGGAACTGACCATTAATGGTCCCCAGAGGTAAAATCAAGGAGGTTACATCATGGGACCAAGTTGGTGACACACTCAGCCACCCCCCCCAAAAAAAAAAACAACACAGGTAAACTAGTCTGCATGGAGCACCTAGATGGGTCAAACTTGAAGACCAACACAAAAGGATTTCACTAGGAAATTTCTCCTGAGATGTTGAACCTCAGAGGTCCCCCAGGACTCGTTTCCATCTGACAGGACAAATCTGAATTCAAGATGGTGGAAGGGTGTTCACTGGCCTACTAGTAGATGGTTTGGGTGGACTTCTCCAGCTTCAGGCAGTCATAAATAATTGGACCTCCCCTGTACGTTTTCAGACCGTGTCCTGGTCTTATTAGATCACGTGGCATGGTGGTGGTGGTGGGGGGGCACCTGTCCTGAAGGACGACATACACACCTGGGCACAGCCGGGGCAGGTGTTCCCGTTCTCGCAGGTCCGCTGTCTGGTGTGCATCCCGCCTCCGCAGTCCACGCTGCACTTACTCCATGAACCCCAAGAGGACCAGAAGATGGGGACCGGGCAGGGATTGTTCTCGTTGCAGAAACTGAAAGGAGAAAAGAAGAGTAAAGATCTGGAACCCAAACATATTCCTGCCTGCCACGGGACAGTTCTGGGGATCCTTCCGGGAACGAGTGGCCGTTACATCCACACACAGACGGCGCTGTATAGGACACGGGCAATGACCACGTGCTGTACCTGTATCAGTTAGAGGTGGGGAGGGATCTGATTCCATGAGATAAATGACTCCTGAAGAGGGAACATTTGCTCTGCAATCCTCTGAATATTAGTAAACATTTTAAAATTAATTTGGAATTCAATGAACTGTTAACTAGACAGGCGAACCTCTGCGTGTTCTCAGGTAATCTCCACGGCAACTGGTATGCATGGAAAGTTGTTGCATGCACATGTGTGGGAGTCAGTGCAGAGGTCAGGAGTATGTAATGTACAGAGTGCAGGGGTCAGGAATATGTAATGTACAGAGTGCAGGGGTCAGGAATATGTATGGTATAGAGTGCAGAGGTCAGGAGTATGTAATGTACAGAGTGCAGGGGTCAGGAGTATGTAATGTACAGAATGCAGGAGTCAGGTGTAGTAACGTACAGATTGCAGGAGTCAGGGATATGTAATGTCACAGAGTACAGCAGTATGTAATGTACAGAATGTAGGGTGCCAGGAGTAGTAATATACAGAGTGCAGAGGTCAGGAGTATGCAATGTACAGAGTTCAGGAGTCAGGGATATGTAATGTACAGAATAATGTACAGAGTGCAGAGGTCAGGGGTATGTAATGTACAGAGTGCAGAAGTCAGGAGTATGTAATGTACAGAATGCAGGAGTCAGGAATATGTAATGTAGAGGTCAGGAGTAGTAATGTACAGACTGCAGAGGTCAGAGAATGTAACAGAGTGCAAAGGTCAGGAGTATGTAATGTATAGCGTGAGGGGTCAGATGTATGTAATGTACAGAGTACAGAGGTCAGGAGTATGTAATGTATAGAGTGCAGTGGTCAGAAGTATCTAATGTAGAGAGTGCAAAGGTAAGGAGAATGTAAGACTGCAGAGGTCAGGAGTATGTCATGTATAGAGTGCTGGGGTCAGGAGTATGTAAGGTACAGAGTGCAAAGGTCGGGAGAATGTAACAGAGTGCAGAGGTCAGGGGAATGTAATGTACTGAGTGAGGGGATCAGGAGTATGTAATGTATAGAGTTCAGGGGTTAGGGTTATGTAATGCACAGAGTGCAAAGGTCAGGAGTATGTCATGTACAGAGCTCAGGGGGTCAGGAATATGTAACAAAGTGCAGGGGTCTCTGCAAGCACCCCATGGAAAACAAAGAGTCCCTTCTTTGCCCCCAGGTTCCCCTGCCAGACTAATGGAGTCTGGGCCTGGGACAGGAGAGCTGGCTCTACCTCCTCTATCAGCGGTCCTGCCCCCCCCCATGGTGCTGCCCCCCCCCCCCCATGTTATCTCAGTCCTGTAATTGCACACCCCGGCTGGAGGACACCTCCTCTCTGCTCTGATAGTGTCATGAGCTGCATGTAGGAGTTGCACGGTGTCACTCATGAATGTTTCCAGTTCTCATTGCCCCGCACACTCCAAGTCCCCGTCTGGCAGCATTGGGGGGACCGAGCCTCCGAACATTACCATACATGTACTGGACATCTGGGGGTTAAATACTGAGCCTACCACTCGGATTAGGTGCGATTTCTCAGCTCTGGTGCACTACAACTCCCAGCATATCCTGTTAGCCGGCACACAATGCTGCAACTAAGGAAATCAAGGGTAAGGTTTGCTTCTTCTGCTGCTTCAGAACAACATTTGATGGCCTCCCGGATCTCGTGTCGCCTCCAGCACTGGAAGCCCGCAGTGACCCGGTTCTGATCAGCAGAGAGACGGTGACAACGTTTCCAGCGACACTACAGAGCCCAGTCAGTGGATCTGATAATGAGCGGGGGCAGGGAGCGGGCGACACACGGACTGAATTAGCACATTTAACAGATTATTGATGAACTCGGCGGCCTCTCTGCTTTCCATGTGAAATCCAGTGAGAGGTCGGAGCGCAGGAGGCGTCTGCCCGGGGTGACATGTCCCGCAGATTTCTAATTAGGAGACTAGAAGCAAATTAATTGTGTCCATTACCAGATGTAAGTAGTGCGAGGAAGTCGCTGGGATCAAACCGCGCCACATCGCTGTGTCATACAAACCGTCCGCCGTGCCAGAGAACACGAAAATCTGCCAGAGTCCCCCGACAATCCGCCAGAGAACAATCCGCCAGAGAACCCGACAATCCGCCAGAGTCCCCCGACAATCCGCCAGAGTCCCCCGACAATCCGCCAGAGAACCCCCCGCCAGAGAACCGACAATCCGCCAGAGAACCCCGACAATCCGCCAGAGAACCCCCGACAATCCGCCAGAGAACCCCGACAATCCGCCAGAGAACCCCGACAATCCGCCAGAGAACCCGACAATCCGCCAGAGAACCCGACAATCCGCCAGAGAACCCGACAATCCGCCAGAGAACCCGACAATCCGCCAGAGAACCCGACAATCCGCCAGAGTCCCCGACAATCCGCCAGAGTCCCCCGACAATCCGCCAGAGTCCCCCGACAATCCGCCAGAGTAACCCGACAATCCGCCAGAGTCCCCCGACAATCCGCCAGAGAACCCCGCCAGACCCGAAATCCGCCAGAGAACCCGACAATCCGCCAGAGTCCCCCGACAATCCGCCAGAGTCCCCCGACAATCCGCCAGAGTCCCCCGACAATCCGCCCGAGTCCCCGACAAGAGATCAAAGTAACATCCGTTTATAAACATCGATCAGACCCCCGATAGAGAGCCAGACAAAGCAACATTGTTTATAAACCGATCAGACCGCCAGAGGAGATAGAGAGAAAACAAAGTAACATTGTTTATAAACATCGATCAGACCGGAGATAGATTGATACAAAGTAACATTGTTTATAAACATCGATCAGACGGGAGATAGATTGATACAAAGTAACATTGTTTATAAACATCGATCAGACGGGAGAATCAGAGAGATACAAAGTAACATTGTTTATAAACATCGATCAGACGGGAGACAGAGAGATACAAAGTAACATTGTTTATAAACATCGATCAGACGGGAGATAGAGAGAGACAAAGTAACATTGTTTATAAACATCGATCAGACGGGAGACAATAGAGAGATACAAAGTAGTCCCCGACATTGTTTATAAACATCGATCAGACAGGAGACGGAAGAGATACAAAGTAACATTGTTTATAAACATCGATCAGACGGGAGATAGATTGATACAAAGTAACATTGTTTATAAACATCGATCAGACGATCAGATGGGAGACAGACGGAGAGATACAAAGTAACATTGTTTATAAACATCGATCAGACGGGAGACGGAGAGATACAAAGTAACATTGTTTATAAACATCGATCAGACGGGAGACGGAGAGATACAAAGTAACATTGTTTATAAACATCGATCAGACGGGAGACAGAGAGATACAAAGTAACATTGTTTATAAACATCGATCAGACGGGAGATGAGAGATACAAAGTAACATTGTTTATAAACATCGATCAGACGGAGACGGAGAGATACAAAGTAACATTGTTTATAAACATCGATCAGACGGGAGACAGAGAGATACAAAGTAACATTGTTTATAAACATCGATCAGAAAGTAACATTGTTTAAAACGGGGAGATAGATACAAAGTAACTGTTTAAAAACATCGATCAGACGGGAGATAGATACAAAGTAACTGTTTAAAAACATCAGACCGGAGATAGAAAGTAACATTGTTTATAAACATTGTTCAGATAGAAATGCTGTGTTTTAAAGTGGATGTTGTGTTATATAGAGGCCCGGTATGGACAAAGTGCAGTCCATTCACAGCTATTTCAGATTGATGTCTGCGCAGCGACTGCATCTCCCGGCTCCTCCCCCCGTCAGTCCGCTCACACAGCGGCAGGGTCTCCAGGTTGACAGCTCATCTTATTGTAATACTGAGCAGGTCTGCTGACTGTACTGTCTATATACAGACAACCAGCAGAGGGAGCAACTCCAAGCTAGGAAAATCTCTAACTGCAACAATGTGTCACACAATTATTTTCAGGCGATTGCTACCATGATTAAGTATTGTGTGCGCTCGCTAAAAATACCCCCCATCTTCCCATCTGACGCACGCAACTATGGAGACCGTAACCACGCCCACGGGCCGCGATTTCACCAAACTGCCAGCCTGGAGTCCCTCGCTGTACTCTTCCCCGCTGCTGAACTCTCCGCCTGGAAGAAGTACTTAGCCGACACTTAGCCGGAGACTCGCAAGACTGGAGTGATCAGTTCAACCCAATAAAAACAAAGTGGCGAGTGCGGTGCGGGGGTGGAGGCGGCGGCGCGGCATTCTGGGAACTCTTATCCGGAGATTTTACGGACACGGGAACAGATCTCTATAATGATACAATCTCTGAGCTTTTCCCAGCTTAAGACGCTGAATAATTAATAACCAAACAGGCAGCACAAACACAGGCGATCGACTAAACTGCGCGGCGGTAACACGGCGACAAGTAATTATTTTTAAATGCACTGACTCCGCGGCGGTTAGTTAACTGCTCGTGTGCCGCCACGGCCGCCCTCAGTCTTCAGACGGGAAAGGTTGGATAGAAAAACGGGGGATCTCACCGCTCCTCTCTGCTCTGCCCCACGCACACTCTCCCTCCGAACCGCGGAGCCGGGTTGCTGCACGTCCTCTGCCGCACCTGAAATCCGATACCGCAGGAGGTACTGCACTGCGCCCACGAGGACCAGGGTGTCCAGCCGCCATTCCTAGGAGAGAAAGAAAAAAAAGATTAGTACGATTTATTTCTGGAAAATGATAATTTAGTACAGAGATTGTCTGGGAGAATCTCAGAATGAACACGCAGCAGAGGTGCAACTCGGGGCCCCAGTGAAAGAAACCATGACCCAATTACGGGACCCTTTCATCGGTCCCGGGGCCCTAGCCACTGGTTCCCTGGCCTTTGCTATTGGTCCTAGTGCCCTTCCCTTTCAGCCAGAGCCTTTGCCTGAAAGCCTGGGGACCTTACCCTCCCAGCCTGGAGACCTTACCCCCCAGCCTGGGAACCTGCCCTCCAAGCCTGGGAACCTGCCCTCCAAGCACCTGGGAACCTGCCCTCCAAGCCTGGGGACCTTCCCACCAAGCCTGGGGACCTGCCCTCCAAGCCTGGAGACCTTCCTTCCCAGCCTGGAGACCTTCCCTCCAGCCTGGAGAACCTTCCCTCCCAGCCTGGGACCTTCCCTCCCAGCCTGGGGACCTTCCCTCCAAGCCTGGGGACCTTCCCTCCAAGCCTGGGGACCTTCCCTCCAAGCCTGGGGACCTTCCCTCCAAGCCTGGGGACCTTCCCACCAAGCCTGGGACCTTCCCTCCCAGCCTGGAGACCTTTCCACCAAGCCTGGGGACCTTCCCTCCCAGTCTGGGGACATTCCCTTCCAGCCTGGGGACTTCCCTCCCAGCCTGGGAACTTTCCCTCCCAGCCTGGGAACTTTCCCTCCCAGCCTGGGAACCTTCCCTCCCAGCCTGGGGACCTTCCCTCCAAGCCTGGGGACCTTCCCTCCAAGGCCTGGGGACCTTCCCTCCCTCCAAGCCTGGGGACCTTCCCTCCAAGGCTGGGGACCTTCCCTTCCAAGCCTGGGGACCTTCCCTCCAAGCCTGGGGACCTTCCCTCCAAGCCTGGGGACCTTCCTTCTCAGCCTGGGGACCTTCCCTCTCAGCCTGGGGACCTTCCCTTCCAGCCTGGGGACCTTCCCTCTCGACCTGGAGACCTTTCCTCTCAGCCTGGGGACCCTTTATTCCCATTGCAGGGCCCTTTATTACGGTCCCACAGCAGGACTTTTCACATGTTCTTCAGAGGACCCCCTTCCTGTTGTCTTGGGCCCCCTCAACGGTGGAGGAACACCAGGGCCCGGTCGCAAGTGTGACCTTAGTGACCCTGGTGGTTAACCCATATGAAAGAAAAATGTATTTGAAGTAGATTTTAAAAATATTCTTCCCAAATATATCGACATATATTTGAAATACTACAATTTTGGCCGTATTCAATATATTTCATTAATTAAATATATATCTATATCTATCTTTATATATATCTATCTCTATATATATCTATATATATATATATATATATATATATATATATATATATATATATATATACTGCAGGTTGAAATGCGTTTTTTATTACAAAATATATGAAAAATATTTTTAAAAATACATTTCAAACATACTGTATGTCTTTAAAAATATAAATCTACATTTTTGGAATGCATTTACAAATATATATATATATATTTATTTATTTTTTTTTATTTTCTTTTGCATGTTGAAATGCATTTTTTATATATATACAAAATATATGAAGATATTTTTTTAAAATATATTATTCAATGTTTTTTTTAACATATAAAAGTCATTTTAACATGTATATCTGTAATTGCATTCCAAAAATGTAGATTTGTATTTTTAAGGACATACAGTATATTTGAAAATGTATTTTTAAAAATATTTTTCATATATTTTGTAATAAAAATGCATATATATTTATTGAAATATACTGAATATGACCAAAATTGTAGCATTTCAAATATAAGTCAATATATTTTGGAAAGAATATTTTAAAACTATATTTCAAATATATTTTTCTTCCATGGGGGAACCCATTTAGTTTAAAATAGAAATGAAAAGTAAAACATTTGTGTATAGACATAAAAAAAAATAAATAAATACATTTTTGTGATCACATAAATCGCTGTTCTCAGTTGCAAAAGGGACATGGAGAGGTGGGGTGGAGAAACAGCAGTACAATGGTCTTCCCACTGAATGGCTGTGTAGGGGTGTGTCAGCACAAGTCTAATTATTGGAGGACACGCAGGCCGAGCTCCCAGAAAACTGACCATGGCTGGGATGGATGTGCTCTCATGCCTAGTGTGGTCAGTATCGAATAGGAAAGCAGGGAGTCTGGCAGGATCTCCAGGTATTTCATGCAAAGGAAGCAATACGAGAACAGGGGACTCTCTAACACACATGCATGGTGCAGCAGCCACAGATCAGGAATAGGAAATGTTGGGGGTAACATATTCTTTAATAGAAAGGTAACAAATCCTCAATTTCTTTTAAAGGGAAAAACGATACTTTCTGGTCACAACCAATATTCAATATATACTGTATAAACTATAAAATAAAAATACAATCATTATACAGGATTTAATAAGCGCCAACAAGTGTTTACAATATAAAGGGAGACGGTACAGTTACAATACAAATGGGTTAGGAGGGTCCTGCTCAGAAGAGCTTACAATCTTAACGAGGGGGGGGGGGCACGAGTGATACAAATGGTAATAACTGTAGCGGGAGTCGATGGAGGAATTAAAAGTTCAGTTATCGGGTGGGGGTGGGGTAGGCTTCAACGAAGAGATGAATTTTCAGGGATCTCCTGATGGCAGAGAAAGCCGAACAGATTGGGGAAGGGAGTTACGGAGGATGGGAGAAGTCCTGGAGGAGAGCCTAGGAGGAGGTGATGAGGGCGCTAGAGAACAGGAGAAGCAGAAAGATGGTTTGGGTGATTCTGAGACAAGGTTGGTGATGTAATTGGTGGCGGAGTGGTGGATAGTTTGTGGTTAGTAATCTGAATTTTGGTAAAACAGACAATATAAATAAATGGAGATAGTGAGCGCTCCTCAAAGGCAGCTCCTGAAACACCAAAAGGTACCAATCTAAAACCTTTAAAATAAACAATATAATACAGGGTGTAGCGCTAGAGATAATAATATTTGTGTGATTTCTAGTTGTTCCCCCGTGGCCATTAAAATGGAGATGGCCTCACTAGAACATCTTCTGCTCCTCTGGGAAGACTTTCTATAAGATTTTGGAGGGTGTCTGTGGTCACTTCTGTCCATTTGTGAGGTCAGGTACTGATGTTGGATGAAAAGATCAGATTCACAACCGGCATTCCGATTCATCCCAAAGGTGTTCAGAAGGGTTGAAGTCAGGGCTCTGCGTAAGACACTTGAGTTCCTCCACACAAAACTATGACAAAAACTACACCTCCTCCCTCGGCAAAACGTATCCACTCCCATGGCTTCAATTACCACCTCTATGCCAACGACACCCAAATTTACCTCTCCACCCCCCACCACACCCCCTCACTCTCCGCCCGCATCGCCCACCTCCTGAACGACATATCAGACTGGATGTCGCTCCCATTTCCTCAAACTTAACCTCTCCAAAACCGAGCTTCTTGTCTTCCCCCCCCATCCTCTCCATCACTACTAACAACGCCACCATCTCTCCCATCCCACGTGCCAAAGTCCTGGGTGTCACCCTGGACTCCCACCTCTCCTTTCTCTAACCCACATCCAACTGCTATCTAGATCTTGCAGGCTCCACCTCCGCAACATCTCCAAGATACCCACCTTCCTCACCCCAGACACCCCCAAACAACTCGTACACTCCCTCATCATCTCACGCCTGGACTACTGCAATTCCCTTCTCACCGGCCTACCCAAACGAACGCTATCCCCACTCCAGTCGATCCTGAACTCAGCGGCTAGACCAGGGGTGGGCAAACTTTTTGACTTGAGGGCCGCAATGGGTTCATATATTGGACCCGGGGGCCGGACCAAGAGTAGATGAATGATGTGTATGTGTCATCCATAGTAAGTATAGTAATATTCCCCCATAGTAATTAATCCCCCATATAGTAATTCATCCCCCATATAGTAATCCATCCCCCATATAGTAATTCATCCCCCATAACAATTCATCCCCCATATAGTAATTCATCCCCCATATAGTAATTCATCCCCCATAGTAATTCATCCCCCATAGTAATTCATCCCCCATATAGTAATTCATCCCCCATATAGTAATTCATCCCCCCCCATAGTAATTCATCCCCCATAGTAATTCATCCCCCATATAGTAATTCATCCCCCATAGTAAATTCATCCCCCATATAGTAATTCATCCCCCATATAGTAATTCATCCCCCATATAGTAATTCATCCCCCCCCATAGTAATTCATCCCCCCCATAGTAATTCATCCCCCATAGTAATTCATCCCCCATAGTAATTCATCCCCCATAGTAATTCATCCCCCATAGTAATTCATCCCCCATATAGTAATTCATCCCCCATATAGTAATTCATCCCCCATAGTAATTCATCCCCCCCATAGTAATTCATCCCCCATAGTAATTCATCCCCCATATAGTAATTCATCCCCCATATAGTAATTCATCCCCCATAGTAATTCATCCCCCATAGTAATTCAATCCCCCATATAGTAAATTCATCCCCCATATAGTAATTCATCCCCCATAGTAATTCATCCCCCATAGTAATTCATCCCTCATATAGTAATTCATCCCCCCATAGTAATTCATCCCCCATATAGTAATTTCATCCCCCCTATAGTAATTCATCCCCCCTATAGTAATTCATCCCCCATAGTAATTCATCCCCCCATAGTAATTCATCCCCCATATAGTAATTCATCCCCCATAGTAATTCATCCCCCATATAGTAATTCATCCCCCCATATAGTAATTCATCCCCCATATAGTAATTCATCCCCCTATTAAGCCCCCAAGTCCCCCCTGTGTCAATTCATCCCCCATAGTAATTCATCCCCCATATAGTAATTCATCCCCCATAGTAATTCATCCCCCATATAGTAATTCATCCCCCATATAGTAATTCATCCCCCATAGTAATTCATCCCCCATAGTAATTCATCCCCCATATAGTAATTCATCCCCCATAGTAATT